AATAATAATCCTTGCATTTGATATAGTGCTTTTCACGTCTTCCAGGTTACTCAAAGCGTCTAGAAGACATTAACTAATATGCATTCAAGTGTCCAGAGCTTCTTCCGAGTACGTGATCATTCAGTATTGCAAGGCTGGAAAGCCAGCAATGTGCAGTTTAAGAAACCTGCCTATTATATATCCACAGCTATCATTAGGTGAGGGTGGGAAATAAGAATTCCAAAGTTAACTTACACAGTAATTACCCACATTGCACTTTACATGACAGCAGGGAATGTTTGGATGGTGCTATCTGACAGACAAGTAAAGATAGGGTTGTGTGTATTCATTTCTGTATTATGAAGCGTGTCTATTGTGTAGGTTGATGGAGTCAAATCTGAGCCCTCCTCAATGAAGGGTGACCTCTAGCGGCTGACATCAGCATTATTATAAACCACTAAACATTGTCAGGATGCAGATGTTGATACTTTCTAATTGTCTTTAAAATCACACATTCATTGAACAAGATGATTTTCCAATAATGCAAAAGTATTATTGTACATTTTGTAATTCTGTGTTATTAAAGCAGGTCAACATCTAAGTATTTATTGATGTAAATAAATTGTGCTTTTCAAAAAAAAAACAATATTTTATATTGTTTTCCATGATTCTTAGTATTGTTTTGAGAAGTCTGAGATTTGGTTAAGCCATTATACATTACTTAATATATTTGGCCGAGATTGCAGCCATACACTTGATACATATATTTGATGCCACCGCTCAACAATATGAGTATAAACAATGGGGGTATTTGTAACAGGAGTCAGGATTCAGAATCCAGATGTGCGTCACAATGGCCTTTGAGACCACTGCTCTGTGGTGCCCCTGGAAGTGCATTGTGTCAGTGTGATGTGCATCTGGTTACTGATAAAAGTCTCTATCTGCAGCTTGGAGTTACTATTTATTATGAATACTGAAATTTCAACCTGCAATGCAACGAGTGCTACAAAACTGCCCCATTCCACCTCAGTGCATTGTGAAATGAACATCTGCTGCTTTATGGTGGCAACATTCATTTTAAGAGTGTTATCTGGAAATATCTATCACTTTGATTTTCCTTTTTTCATTATTTTGGTATTTTTCTTCCATCCCCCTTTAACTCTCCCCATGACTATTTCCCGACTGAGAAGGCAGCCAACTGAATTTATTTGAGACCTCAACCAGCATTGTGTGCAAGTGGATGCAAATGATGCACATAAAAAGGATAGGCTAACTTGCTCACTGATTATCCCTGCCTGCGAGCGGAAGGTACCTGACCAGTATGTATTATGTCCCAATGACTGCAAGGGTGAGGCTGGGAACTGACTGTTCAACAACTGTATGATTTTATATTTTTAAAAAAACAATAAAACAGAAAAAAAGACAGAAAAAAAGACAGAAAGAAAGCAAGCAAGCAAGCAAGCAATAAATAAATAAATAAACAAATAAAGAAAAAAATTGCGACACACAGAGACTCTTGTGCTGTGGCAAACACAGAGATAGCAATCATAGCTTCAGATGTCAATCATAACCCTCCTCAGATGTCCTTTGAAATAATACATTTGTATTATATGCTTAGTGTTTCTGGAATAAATTCTATTGAAAAATGTACTTTGTGCCAAAATTAACATCTTTAAATGTTCTTGTTAGAACGTTCCTGGATTTCAAAACTTACGTATTCACAAGATGAAATTTAGAGGGGTCACCTCCTCCCTGATAAAGGGTTCAGAAAATCATTTTGTGTTTCACTTTGCATTCCTGTAAATGCACAAAGCTTTCACAGGAATCGCACCAAGGTCTATCATTGGTCAACTGGCTCATCTCCCTTGCCATTGCAAGAAAGAGATCTGATAAGTCTTTCTGAACAAAGTACTACAATATTTAACATTCAGTCATTGTCCACCTGAATCCATTTACCACTTAGTCAGGTTATGATAGACTTTGTAAATAACATGGAAATTGCTTTGATGTTTCAACTCTCTTCTCTATTGTTTAGCAACACTTCCAGAGCCCATTATTCTCGTTACCTCATCACCACACAATATATCTGTCTATGTTCATTTTCTTAGATTATATTCTTTTTTTATTTCATCTTAATCAACTTTGTTGTCCCCTTCGGTTGTTTCTTATGAGCTCACTTAATTCTTTTTTTCCTGCCTAATGTAGTAAATTTGTCTTGGAAATTGAGTTTGAGAAATATAAGATTGTGTTACATCTAACAGATTGCATTTTGCTTTTTAGAATTATTAGGGCAATTTTTCAAAACATGTATATTGTGTTTGTCAAGTTGGAGGATAATGGTACTGGCGTGGAATGGAAAACAATTCCCACTTGGCACCGATTTACAAAGTCCAGCAGGCAACTGTGAAGGGAGGCTCCACTTCAATGCTTTTCAATGTCAACCTCACAAAACTCTTAGTGCAACGTTTCTCATGGCTTTTGTCCTGCAACATAATATGACATGACATTAAATGATGACTTCAAGCCCTATAATAGCCTCATCATTAACCCTCACTATGAGATCCATGGCCTCCTGATTGGAGCTGCGTTTACTCAGCCAGGGACATGACATGCTTTGTTTAGCTTCGGCTTCCACTCTCCTCCCATTGTTTGTTGAAAGCAATGATCAGTTTCATTCCTCAATTTATTGACAATGGGAAAATCCCGTTTGTGTCGGGGAAGAGTATTTTAAAGTGAAGGGAACCAAAAAAAAAGGAAACTGTGACGGTTTAAAACATAAAATATTCTCCATGTGTATTTTGACATGTCTTGTTAATACAGTAGCTTGCTTGTACTTCAATAGTGTCTTCTATTATTTCAAAACTGTGTGCTAATACTTTGACATAGATGTTAATACCTAATTTTTAATACTTGGTGTCTTAATATTTTGTAGTTGGTGTGGCAAGTTGGGTTAATCATGTGCAAATTCATGTGTGCAAGAACCTTTAATTATGCAATTAGCAATGAATGTAAAGGATGGCAGGTGATTCGCTTGTTTGGAGAATCTCCACTTGACCAAATTGAAAGTAACAACTACCATTATCATTAATAATTCAAAACACTGTGTATTCTTCATCAGTATTAATGGGATCAATTGATTACTTTTCAAAATTGAAACATCTCGAATTTCACATCAACATTTTTAATGCATAAAATAGAATTTGTCAAATGCAGTAGCCTCTTTTGCCCTGAGATTATTATAAAAAGCCACTTTGCTTGTGGAACTATTTGTCAAAAATTCATGCAAATTCTGTGTCACAAAAAGAATTAAGATTACAAGTACTGACACAAATTTATATGATATATAATAATAATCCTTGTATTTGCACGTCATATAGCGCTTTGTACGTCTTCTAGATGTCTGAAACCGCTTCACAGAATATACTGTAAAATGAATTGACTGTGTATGTGTAGGCGAAACGCGGCAGCCAATGTGCACAGCAGTGTCCCACAAACAGTCGTGGATTGAGTGACCACATTATTATTGCTTTTTTCTAGGGATTATTATCCCTGGAAAAGTGATCCGCCACTCGACTAACAACCAGATTCCTACTTACTGCTAGGTAAACAGAGGCGTGTGGAGTAAGGAAACTTGCCCAACATTTTGCCCTGCCGGGAACAGCACCCAGATGGTCTCTTGCTTGCAAGGCGAGGGCTCTAACCACTGAGCTACAGGACTACTTTACATAGCAATGCTTTAAAAAGTACACACACCAAACAAGGAAAATAAGAAATATTGTTACATTATTTTTTTTATTGTGTCAGTTAATGTCAGTTTTAGAAAATAAGTAATTGATAGACTGCAATATTTATGTTATAAAATGCAATTTTTGTCATGTTCGAACATAGATTTATTAGGTTACCACATACTTGGAAAATGGAAAAGGAAATGGTTTTATGTGATTGATGTCTCAGTATAAACTAAGAAAGGCTAGTAAGGAGCTATCTCTTTAAAAAGAAAGGAACAATACATTAGTTCTCAGGATTAGAGATGTTGAACAATGGTCGATACTCCACTGGTAGAATGCTTTCCTTCCCCGATAAATCACTTTTTGTCCAGGTCCCAATCTTAAATGTCTTTTAAAATCATCTTATCATGAGCAGGTGAATTCGGCTGGACTGGTTGGATCACTGGATGCAGTACTACATGCTATTAAAATGCTCTTCTCCAGTGGAGCAGAAAGAGAAAACAATTGAAAAGCAAGTTATTTTTCCCCAGTCATCAAAGCATTCAACTTGATATAGGTATACGTCGCCAAAATGTGCACCTAGATATTTACTGATTAGTGAAAATAATCTTGTGTGTGTCTCTTTCCGTGCCTATGCTCATCTGCCCCCCTCTCCCTTGCTTGATGTCCAACCCTGCCATTGTGCAACACTCCGAGACACTATCCTGCATGAAGACATTAGATAAATGCAAGTTATTGGTGGTGGTGTTGGGCCAGTGACATTGTGGAATATACAAACCTTATTTCTAAGTAAAGTCTCCTTTTGTACTTCTGAATCAGTAAAATGTTGATCACAAAATTCAAAGGATGTTTTGAAATTTATTTTGCAATATAACATACTGGACTCCGTTAACAATCAGCTCACGTTTGAGATGAAAAAAAAAGTGGGAAGAGAAACACATAGGAAATCATGCAACAAACTAGACTATAAAATCAATCCAGTTTTTAAATTATATTAAGTACTTTTTTTCCTATCTGCTAGTACCTCTTTGAACACACTTTTAGTCATCTTTCTCCTCCCACCCCCTCGGCTCCTACCCCCAGCTCGGTTGTCAAGTCAGTAATATTAAGTGCTTTAGGACATCCTCCACATGTGAAAGGCTGTATATAAATATAAATTTGCATTGCTGATTGGATAGATTGCCTAGCGTATTGTTAATAACTCTTTTGTTTCTTTTTCCTAGCTTGTTTTCAGTCCAGTCTGTAGCCTGTTGTAAAGACACCATCAACGGATTTCACACCCTGAGAGTTATTATGAAATCATTACTTGAAGCTCTTTCGGATACAACCTTCCGAACGATCACCACTGATCTCCTCTATATTGCATCTAATGAAGTACAATATGATGATGTTAAAGTAGACTTCAATCTGACGAAGCTTGGGTACGTCACTCAGAATCTGCATTCTTCCCTGGGGAAAGGCAACACTTACCTAGAAAAAATGACTGCAGGTGACGACCCACTGTCCAGTGCCAACCTTCATGACTCGACTAATGTTAATAACTCCCTTTACAACCAATCGATGGATAATGAATCCAATCTAAAATGTGGAGAAAACTTCATGGATATGGAATGCTTTATGATTCTGACTCCAAGTCAACAGATGGTAATTGCTGTCCTTTCCTTGACCCTGGGGACCTTCACAGTGCTGGAGAACGTGTTGATTCTGTGTGTTATAATTCGGTCTTGCAGTCTCCGAAACAAACCTTCCTACCACTTCATAGGTAGCCTGGCCCTGGCTGATCTCTTGGGCAGTGTGATCTTCGTGTACAGCTTTGTGGACTTCCATGTATTCAAGAGGAAGGATAGTCCCAATGTCTTTCTATTCAAGCTTGGTGGTGTAATAGCCTCCTTCACAGCTTCAGTGGGCAGCCTCTTCCTGACCGCCATAGATCGCTACATTTCTATTCACAAACCACTTGCATATAAAAGGATTGTGACTCGTCCAAAGGCAGTCGTTGCTTTTACCGTCATGTGGTCCATAGCAATTGTAATCGCCGTCCTACCTCTGTTGGGTTGGAATTGTAAAATACTGAACTCCACCTGCTCAGACATCTTTCCGCTCATTGACGAGACCTATCTGATGTTCTGGATTGGTGTAACCAGTGGTTTGCTGCTTTTTATCATCTATGCCTACATGTATATACTGTGGAAGGCACACGGTCACGCTGTCCGCATGATCCAGCGCGGCACTCAGAAGAGCCTCGTTGTACATGTGACGGAGGGCGGCAAAATCCAAACCACTCGACTCGATCAAACGCGCATGGACATCAGACTAGCCAAAACACTGGTCCTTATTCTTGTCGCCCTCATCATCTGCTGGGGACCCCTCATAGCCATCATGATATACGATGTCTTTGGGAAGATGAACAAGCTGGTGAAGACTATATTTGCCTTTTGCAGTATGCTGTGCTTATTTAATTCAACAGTGAATCCCATTATATATGCTCTGAGGAGCAGAGATCTAAGGCGTGCATTCCGTAACATGTTCTCATTCTGCAAGGGAGCCTCAGCTCAGCCATTGGAGAACAGCCTGGAGTCAGATTGCCAACAGAAGCATAGCAAGCACCCAGGCACCATGCAGAAGGCTGCCCGAAACTGTATCAAGAGCACTGTAAAAGTGGCTCAAGTTGCCATCTCAGCCTCCACAGAAACATCAGGCGAGGCTGTGTGAGTCTAAGGATCCAACCAATTTACAACAATAACCATTCATAGCAATTAAAATATATTCCTCTAAAGATCTTTAAGAAGAAACACATGCAACACTTAACACTTTCTTACATCACTCACATTAGCTAGGGGTGAACAGTAAAACCAACCTAAAAAAAATATACAGTGCCAATGCACTTCAAGCTAGAACCAAGATTCTGGGTCAAGCACTTAATTTGGATTGTAATTTAATGAAAATGGCAGTAAATATGGGAATATTGGCATTCCACATTGTCAAGAACAGCACTGTGTTGTCTGGAAATGAGTTTGTCTATTGAGGAATTTCATGGGAATTACGTAATATGTGCTGGTAGTAACAATACAGGGGTAATCGGAGGTTTAAAACTCAGAGGAACCTCAATGTCCATTCTGCAATTATAATCCTTGCATTTGATATTGCGCCTTATCACATTATTGAAATGTCTCAAAGCGTTTCAGAGGATTTACTGTAAAATGTTGTGAATGTATGTTCTGTAGGTGAATGACGTAAGTTTGATGTGTTTCTGTGTTGTGGTTGTGGACTTATAATTTGAATTAACCTGTACTTTCTTAATAGCAAACCTCTAAAACAAACCTGGCTGGGTGGTGGGGTGGGAGTGGGCTAAATACATCCCAGCTTTGTGCAATATCCCTGTTATACACCTGCTGATCAGAAGTGGTGGCTCTGATTTAATTTGCCTGCTACTGATATAATCAAAGGTGTCACTTCACTTATGTGGATTTCTATTCAGATTTAGAGCTGAATTACCATCATTATCTGTATAAAAGAGTCGGTTGGTTGGTTTTGATAATTTATCTACAATAATACAGTACCTTCTTGAGGGTAAAAACATTGACTCAATTCACTGTCAAGGTGGAGTTGGTTCAGTTTATTCTAGTGCAATGGACTACTTTGTGCATGTATACCCAAGAGCACACAGCTCAATATAGAGTATGTGACACAACTCTAATTACCAATTCTATTGTTGTTTAAATATTGCATCCCGAGAAATCACAATATTAACTGTGAAATTACTTAATACCAACTGGTCATCCAGTTCACTGCTTTCCTCAGGTCGATTTTCTGATCTGAATTCAAATGCCGCAACGGGAGATAATGTGCAGTGTGGAACCAAACAGGCTAATTTATTTGGGAGTCATCTAAATACAGTATAACTAAGCGCACAGATTCAATATTAGATTGATACCAAAAGATGTTAGCCGTAGTGTCGGATTAAACTTTTATCTTGTTGCTAAGTGGTTTGGTGGTTTTAAATGGGGAGACTTTAAAATGTGTCCGTAGCTTCCGCTCAGTTGCTTGAAGCTGTGTTCTCAAAGTCAAGTTGTATAGATGGTGACAGCTGATGCTATAGTCTTTGATGTAAATACTGTGTGTTTATGAGATTGCTTCTTAGTTTTCTCCAGCTTTCATCCCCAATACAGAGTACAAGGAGTGGTGTGCAGGACATCAGAGTTTTGTAGTGTGATTCAGAATGCCATCTTCCAGTGGTGAAATGCAAGAAAGGCAAACTACTGCTTTAAATCCTTCCACTTTCACATAGTGTTTCCTTTCTATTATGTATTTTCTTCTTATGAGCAGCTGTAAACCTTGGTGACAAAATTATGAGCAGGATATAAAAAAATGTTTGGCGTGTGGAATACATTATGTCAAGAATTCCCCACTGTATAGCATGCTGAAGCCATAAGTTCAAATTATACATGACTGGATCAGTGTTACATTCATTAAAATCTCATTTTCATTAGGTGCAAGCTCATTTTGTTAATCACACTTGGAGTATTGGTCAGTAGGATAAAAGAGTTGAATGAAGAGATGTTCAGCACTCTACAGCTGTCGTCTCATCAACAAGACAACATCTGCTCATAAAGCTGCCCTGATGACAGGTGATGCAGAACTCAGAGTTCTCAGGCCACAGCACAAAGAAACAATATGTTTCAAGGACATTTTTCATCGTCCTTGACTTCCCTCTTTTTACTGCCCTTCCTAGAACCAGCTGCCTCCACAACAGGTAAATTGCCAATTTCTTTGTATTTAATAATAAAATAATAATTATCCTTGAATTTGATATAGTGCCTTATCAAATTGTCTAGATGTCTCCAAGCACTTCACAAGGTGAGGTGTAGCGACTGCATATTTGTAGGGTGAATGTGGCAGCCAATTTGCGCACAGTTTAATGTCACCAAACAGCCATGATACAAGTTACTTTTTTTACTTAGATTTCCTCAAGTACAGACAGAGAGAGGGTAAAGAAAGATTCCTCTTTACATTTTTAAAGTGTAGTTCCATCCATTACAGAATATCAAAGTCGAGGATCATTTCAGGAATGCACAGTTGAATACATTCACAATAGTCAACTCTGCTCTTTATTTCAAAGGATTGTGCCACAGAAAGTAATAGATTGCTTTAGACCTTTACACAGCTGTAGTCGTTTCCTTATTTGAAATACTTTCTTCTTGACTGGCTTGATATTGAATATTTTCCTTTTGCTAAAGGCTGTGGAGAAGGTGCATTTTAAACAGAATAGCTCAGCAACTTTGTTGGTAACAACATTACTTTTCGAGAACAAAGACTATTCTGTAATGGAAATAGGCACATGTCATAAGAAGTGTGATGATTTCTATGCTCATGGATAAATGTTCCCAATGACAGGCTGACAACTGTTCCAGACAATCACACAGTTCAAAATAGAGAGCAAAGACACATATTATGCAGTCCTAAAACTGACATCAAGTTTAGTCTGCAGTCTATTGGAGAACAAGGTCACAGCTTTTCACACACCCTAATGCTTGAATCTTAATAATAGTTGGCGATCGAGAGAAAATGTTTGAAAAGCCAAACTTCTTTAACTTCTGTATGTATTTTGAAAAACATATTATGGATCAAATGTGGTATTCTGCAGCATTAATTTAATTTATATAATATACATGTGCTTTGGGACTCAGCATGTCTTTAAAAGATAGCTGGCCAATGTCTTACGTGTGGAACTCACAGAGCAGCTCACCTAACATTTTACCATCTTTACTGCACATCAGTACCCCAAATTAGCCTGCTAGTCAACAAAATAACTAATTCTTAATCTATCAATATGTCAAGAGAAGCTGAAAAACATCAAAATAGCTCATAACTGGTGATAATACCAGATACATGTGACACCAGAGCAATAGTTATGAGGATGAGAACTAAATATATATAAATATAGTTATGAGGTGGATGATTCCCCACAAATTATACAGTCACTACACTTTATAGTATATCCTGTGAAGTGTTACAGATGTCGTCTGATGTGAAAGGTGCTCTATCAAATAAAAATTGGCACCTGGTTCCATTGGAATGGATGTTAAGATGGGTCTAATAGAGGTCTTCAAAATTCTAAAAGGGTTTGAGAAGATAGTGAAAAATGATTCCCAATTCTTGGAAATAATTAATAAAAGAGGGCTTAAATACAGAGTTGAAGAGATTAAGAGAAACGTTTTCATGTAGATGGTTATCAGAACATGGAATGCTTTGACACCCGTGCTTATTGAAGCTGAGACTATAACAACATTTAAAAGGTAATTTGTCAGAAGAATATCATGAAATAAATAGAGCTAGCACAGGTCCAGGCTGAATGGGACAAATAACCTCCTCCTATGCTATATTTTCTATGATTTCACATAATTCTCCTCACACACACACATGAACCTCACATTTGCATTTGCTGAATCCCAACTTCAAAGGTGACTCAGTGCCATCCTTGGACTTAGTCTCTATCTTCATAGTCTGGTTAGAGGGAAGTTGACATTAATGCTTGTAGCTACTGTATCAAATTGCAGAGCTTTATACCATGGATTCATGTCTACTAGTAACTGGAGACTGATCAAACATATCTACAGATTCTATCTCCTCTACTGACATTAATCTTTCCAGAGAGATGAGTGATATTTATCTCATCAATCTGAACTGGATTTGAAATCATGATCAAGATCACATAGTGGTGAAAGGATAATGGCGTAAATCTTTGCACTACCAGGTAGACTTCTTTTAATGATTAATAAACAGCAAACAAAATAATTTAGTACATTGGCATTGCACATATTGCTTCCATCCCATTGAAAACAATAGGCGAGCTTGCAGTACATGTATGAAGTGTTAGCGAATAGTGAATCTTTCCAATGGCCCTGAAATGGAGAAGAGCACACAAATGTTAGTTATCCACTATGGATTTGTCATACATAATACATAATATGTAGTACTGTAAGTATTGTTGTTGAACTAAGATTCAAATTAAAATAAGTCGAGATATTGCTACACATTTAGTGGCACGGTTGAACACAACTTATTCTGTAAACCTCAGTGTTATTCTTATTATGTAGCTGGTCTATATTCCCTTTTGTGGCAGCATCCATGTAATATAGTTGGTTATTGTTCAGCATTTTCTGAAGAGCTAATTGTGTTCAGAGCTATGAAACAAAAAGCCTGTACAACAAAGCAAAATTGAGATTCAATGAAGACTTTTCTTCCCTTACTTTGAACTTTAATGGTAAGATGATAAGAGGAATGCTCTTAGAATCGGGCCATAGGCAGTCTGTGTGAACAGTGACCAGGTTTAGTTTTTATCAAGTTGTTCTTACACATTTTTGACATTCCAAAAAAGGAGTTGCAAATCTATAAAGCTATATTGATACCAATATATATGTTACAGTAATGTTGTGAAACCAAAGATTTCACAAAAATCCCTGAAATTTTCATTGAAATTGTGAAACCATGAAATCACTGAAATTAAGAATTAGGGATTTTGTGAAAATGCGATCATTTCATCATATTAATAACCTTGCTTTGACACTTGTTAGCATTATCAACAAATAAATAACACATTATGAAAATTAATATTTTATTCACCATAAACTTAATTTGACATTGCATTCACTGATGAAGTGTTAATTATTAATTTGTTAGCACAAGTGAGGCTTCCATGACACCAGGAGTTACATTCTAGCTTTGCTGGGCTGAAAATGTCACAAATTTACTGTAACATATATACTTTCTG